CCCCTCTGAGCGACTGGAAAACAGCAAAGACACAGGTCATGAATGGTGTCTGGAGCGGGTGACCCGGATGTGTCTGCCCAGACTCTGTACAAAGAGGCAGCGCAGCCCTGGCTCCGTTGCTCCCAGGGCTTTGTGCCGGAGGCTGAAGTGGATCCTGTCCAACGTGTGGAGAGCCACAGCTCTTGCCCAGTTGCAGGAGAAGCCTCTGTTCTCTCTGGTACCCAGAGAGGCTCTGCAGACCTGGCTGCGCAATAGGCTGGTCAAAATGGATGCCAGGAGCATCTCAGTCATCACTGCCAAACTTCCTGATTACGGACTGCTCTGCAGCCTAACTCTGCTCACTGAGGGGGAATGTGGATGCTCAGATGAGAACTGCATAATATATTGGCAGTTGTCCATGTCTTTTCACTCTTGGGGCCACTTTTTCATGTGCCAAGCCCCCCTGTACAGCACCACAGTGAATTTTGGAGGTTGCTAAAATTAAGCTGTGTTTTATTTTGTGTGCTGATCATTGCTTTCTCTGTAGACTTGTGTATATGAGAATTATTTTCCTAAAGTCCTTTGCCTCTCTTCCAGTACACACTGAATCCTCTGACAATGGCAAAAAGAACCTGGATTACCACCCAGCTCATTCTCTCCCTCTCCCAAGGTACTTGCTTGAAGTCTGAACAGAGGAATCAACCCCAGGAGTTCCCAGCTGATGGCACAGTCAGGATCCCAGACAGAAGTTGCTTCTGTGCCTGACAATTAGGTAAGAATTACCTCAAATACACTCTGATAGGAACAAGTGCAGGAAACACGGGAGGTTGGTCAGACTGACTCCAGCACTGCCAGGGACAGGGCTCAATCCACTCTATCCACTGAATCCATGACTACTGGGTCTTTTTTCTTCTCTCCCTTGTAAAATTATATGATGAAATGGTTTTCCTTGGGCATTTCCCACTTCTGAGCATTATTTAATGCATTGCATTACAAATAAAGGAAAATACTCAATTTCTGCACTTTTTTTGTTTGAGGTTCAAATTTTATATCCCCCAATCCTTATTTGGCAGGTTAAAATTAATACTTTTCAGAGTGTTCAAGGGAGAAAGAGAGTATCAGTCTCTTAGAAAATGAGACAACATGGGAAATGCTAATTAGATCAACTTGGATAAATACCTTTTTTGCCCTGCTCTTCACATCAGATCAGTGTATGGGGTACCAGACAAGTGGGAGGAGCATGGCTGCTTTTTCTTCCTCCTCCCTCCTGCATACAGAAATGAGGGACATGAGGAGATAGCAAGCTTGAATCAAAAAGCAGTGTCTGCCAAGGAGCAGAGCTGCTCCTGTAGAAACATCCCTCCATCTCTGCCATGTGGGAAGAGAGGGGTTTTGGCCATTTCTTTCTCTTAGTTATGAACAAATAGCATAGGGCCGTCACTCACCACTAACTAAGAAGCCCAGTTAATATATCTGGTGATACACCCTGGCTGCCCCGAGGTGCTGTTGTGCAATGGAAGTTGATAAATTGGGCCAAAATAATGCCTTAAACTCTCCCTGCTTCCACAGTAGCTTAAACCCCAGGTCAGAGTGGGCACAAAATACACTGGGCCGGAAACGAGACTTTACCAACGCTATCCATTTCCCTCCACATTTCCTTTTTACCACCAATAATTCAGCTAATTTAGCATAATATCCCAAACAACAGGAGTTAGTGTCAGTGTTGAAGGATCAACACTGCTTCTGCAGCCCCCTGCATGCCAGCTGGGAGGAGTCAACGTGCCCTTCCTGGAAAGGCTGTTGCAGTCATGAGAAGATGAAGAATGTGTTATTAAACTAGTATGTATGTCCAGGGTCTCAGATTTCTGAAGAAAGGTGTGACCTTGTCTACCTTAAGGCTGTAAATAGACGATCTTTAAGATCCCTTCCAACCCAAACCATCCTGTAATTCTGTCTTCAACAGAACTGATGACATAAAATGGTTTAGGGCTTGATTTTCCATGAGGTTACACCCCTCAGACTCTGTGCCCACCAGCACACACCAATGATACGTGAGAGCCCTCCCAACCCCTGCCATTAGGGAAAAACAAGAACTGGCATGAGATGGCAAAAGCTGTTGTGCGGTGTTCAGAGAAAACCTGTTTGCGTGGGATGTGCTGGAAAAATTGCTTAAGAATGGTGCATTCTCATAAGAAAAATGATCTGGCTGCTGTTCAGGTCAGTGATTTTGTATCAGAGCTGCAGGCTGTGTGGTTGCTTCAGTATATGGTGCAGCCGCTGGCAAAGTGTTTGCTGTGCGTGTGATACAATTCCCCTTGCTCTGGGGTGTTGGAGGCCCTTGCCTTCACCCAGTTTGTGGTCTGGGTTCATGTTCTCAGAGCAGCTTGCACTGACACAGGGCTCCATGGCAGAGAAAGGCACCCTGTGGATGTCAGCACAGGAGAACAGAGCAGTCTGGATCAGTTTGCTGGTGGGGCTTCATCCTTTCATGGTGGGAAGGTGGGAGGGATAAAATGCTATGCCCATGTCAATAGCAAGTGATAACCAGGATTCTGATCTCTGCTGAGCAAAGCACTGGCCATGCTTCAGAGGTGGATAAAGAGGTTTCTGAGAACACAAATCATGAACCAGCATTAGTTGTTGAAAGAACTAAATTACAGGAATGCCCAGGCGTTAACTGGAGCCTCCTCCCAACTTCTGCTTGACAATCTGTCAACAAGCCATGAAGGGACAGCTTTCACTCCATCTCCTTTTTCACCTTGGATGAAGGCTAAAGGAAAAAGACATCTGGAAGGTCTCCTGCCAGCCAGAGATCTGTAAACCCTCTCTCACACAACATTCTTACTCTTGTACCAGCAGACCCCCAGCCTTTGGCAACAGGAACATTGGTCTGTGCTTTGTTCCTGTAACCTTCAAGACTAGAAACATCAGTAGGACTGCCACTAGCACCAGCCAGACCCTGTGATTTCATGGGGTAAGTTTTAATAGGCATGTTTTAATAGGGTTGCTCAGTAGAGAAGGCCCTTTTTCCTCAACAGCCTTAAACAAACTAATACAAACAGTAAATTTAATGAAAGAAAATGAAGTAGCTCTCCAATGCAGGCTTGCTGCTTCTGCAGAGGATGCGCTCTTGCACTGCTGAATGGTTTGGTTCTGGTCAGTCCCAAAGCAGCCACTGGGAATGAGACCAGAGTAAGGTTATGTCAGAGGAAGGTTGTGCTTTAGGTTCCTTGTGCTACTGCTTTTAAAAAACAAGCCTTCACAGCAACTGCTCTTTTCCCTCTGGAAGGAGAGCTGAGGCAGAGTTTGCAATGTAAAATTTAATAGAGAAATGAGGAAGGAGCAAATTCCCCTTTTCTTGCAAACACACAACATCTCTAATTTGTGGCTTTGTGCATTGCTGACAAGTACAGACAGTGATGGGTTATACAGGGAGCACTCCTTGTCCCCTTCACATCCCAGACCTGTCCCAGCGCACTGGGCCACACAATGCCATCTCTCCTTCTTGATCCCTTTTGGTCACCTTCTCTCCAGGAAGATTCACTGCTATTTGCCAACCTTTCCAATCCCCATCCTGTCTAAATAAACCCTGTCAAGTTGCCCTCCATGGCATTTTCACTATGCCATCCCAGCTGGAGCTGCAAATCAACTTGGACCTCACATCCTTGCTGTGTCCATGCAGGATGTCCTTAAGGGAACACCAGGCACTTGACACCAGCTTTTGAGGAACAGGCAGCATTTTTATCTATGAGATACCCAAGACCGGCATGAAAGCTCCAGGAGGGATCACCATGTTAAACCCACCCAGGCTGTCCTTTTAAAAGCACAGCCCTGCCTAATACTCATCATCACAGCTACAGTAATTCCTTGGCTGCACAGCCAGGTTTGGGGTACAATGAGCAGTTCATGTCTCTTCTCCCCAAAGACAGATGCGTGTTCGCACCCACACACAAAACCGGGGTGTTAAGGACTTCCCTGTGATGGATCTTTCACAAGCAGTGTTTCTGGGAAGGCCTGGCATTCAGATGGCAGGCAGGACAGCTGGTATCAGCAGTGCCTGTCATTGTGGTGTTGGGACTTTGCAAAACAGGGTCTGTCTTTGAAAATATTTTAAAAAATTTTATTAAGCTAAAGTCTCCCTGCTCCTGACTATCTCAGAAGATAAATCATACCAAGCAATGTTTCCCTGCCTTGAGATTATTGTACCCTTTCAAAACACCAGCCTGGTCTGGTAATTCTGAATTTTAACCCCTCTGCCAGGCTGCCTCCTTTAGCTGCCAGCAAGCATTCTCTTCTCAAATTAACCCGACCACAATGAGCTGCAGCAGAACCCGCATAATTGCTCTTTTTTGCACCAAACAGCCCGACTTACGAAGGAGACATTTCCTGAAGCAGCCAGCCCTGCTACACTCATTATTCCTAAAACAAGGCTTGTTGCGGTATCTTTATGCTCAGCTACCGCCTTTAATCTCGCACGCTGCCTTCAGCAGCACCACTGGCTGCAGCAGTCCCGCAAGATGCCCTTTCCATCCTCTCCCAGGCAAGCAAGCCAGGACGCTCCCAATGGAGCCGGCAGTCGGCCGGCGAGAGCTGCATCCCCCCTTGGCGACAGGCATGCAGCTCCCAGCTGCGCTGGCAGCGCGGGGCACTCACGTTGGCGGCAGCGCGGATCCCTTTCAACAGCTTAACTGCGGCTCATTTTTAACCCCGGCCAGCGGATCTAAGCTGCTCTCCGCAGGGCTCAGACGGAGCTGCCTGCGTGACACCGAAGCATCCAGACGCCGACTCGCCAGCTGACATGTCAAAGCAACGTCGTGGTTAGCAAACACATCAACAAATCGACTGGCAACCCACACACCGGCGGGAGCGGGTCCCTGCGTTCCGTGCCGCTGCCGCTGCTCCGGGGTTTGTGCAGCCCCGTCGAATTCGGTGTTGCTATCTGGCGTTTTCTGCCGGTGTCTAAAATAGCATCAGGAGCGTTCCCTGTTGATTTCTCCGGCAGTGCTTGCTGAGCCATGCCGGGGACCAGGGCTCCTGCAACCTGCCTCCACGCAGCACGTTAAAAACATTTTCTTGCCTTCTCCCTCCAAAGGAGGTGGAGAGAGGAGGAAAAAGCCCTCTTGATGTTTTCCTGCCCAGCTACCATCAAATCCCGACCTGAGGTAATTCTGCTGTGGCTGAAAGCAGAGGATCTCTGCAGCGCATGAAGCTGATTTGCTGACTTACCCTTCATCTCTCCCAGGAATGCCAGGTGAAGAAGCCGGCCTCTCGCTCCAGGAAAGAGGCACAAGAAGCCGGGCAGCAGCCACTGCAGAGCCTGCTCAGAAGTTCGCTCCCTCTGTCACAGTGTGTGCAGCTTGCCAGGTATAGCCGGGATGAGAACACCCCGTGCTTTTCCCAGGATGAATGAGATCAGCACATATTCAGTCAAGGGGAAAAAAAAATAAAAAATAAATATATGTGATGGTTTAAGACCCAGAGGGAAAAGTGTTTGTCCACAAGTTGCTCTGCTTTACTACTCAGGATTTTCTGAGGTGAATTTCATAGGAAGGAGAGTTTCTCCTCTGCATTTGGCGTTGTTAGATGTGTTAAAAAGCAAGCAAATAGTCGTCATATCCATGGAGTAGGCAGGAACCCATCCTTAGCCACATGAGGTGGAGGGCATGTGAAGGACACTCTTACAAGCAGCAGAGATACCTTTATAAAACCTGCAGGCTGATGCCTTTTGACTCAAACCAGCACCTTGCTGTTACAGGTTCCACATGGGCTGTGCAGATCCAGACTCCACTGGTCCTGGCTTTCCTGAGCGAGGTTGTTCGGATTAAGCTCTCTTCCACCTGGCTGCTCTGTGACACCCCAGGTTGACAAAGTCCCTTTCTTCTGCCATGTCCTTCACATCAAGCGTCTCTAAAGGCTCATCACCTGCCTATCAGGCTGGGGTTATTACTGAGCTGGAACCCTGGGGTGACAGGGAGATAGAAAAAGGGCACGAGGTGCTCAGAGGACTCAGGTGGGCCGAAACATTTTGGTGTCAGTGTTATGTCAAAGAGAATCTTGTATCTCTGGGTCTCTGTTGTTGTGCTGGGGGGATCCTGTGCTCCAGTGCAAGAGGCTCATGGAATGGCAAGAGTTTTGATGTCTGCCTTGGTTGGGATGGTTGGGAATCTGTGGGGCACAAGGAACATGTATTTTCCTTTAGTCTTGGAACTAGAGTGACTGCACTGGAGGAAAATGAGCCGATTTCCTCAGGATCAGGCCCCAAGGCTTGTGTGGCTGGGAACCCAGCTCAGGTCCCCAACTCCCTGGCTTTAGCTACTCCAAATCTCCTCCCTTTCCCTCTCCCAGAGCTTAGGGCTAGGAGTGACTGAGGCACTGACCTCTGCCACAGACTCTTTGCATAACCCCGGGTGTGTCCCTGCACCTCCTCATCCCACTCATCTGCACAAAGTTCCTGTGTAGCTCATCCATGCAAGGAATGGGTTCCCTGCCTCGTTCCCTGCTGACAGTGAGACTGGAATGTGGGGTTTGATGTGGCTGAGGCAGCCCCTGTGAATAGGCTGAGGGGGAAGCCTGGCTCCCTCAGGTGTCACTTCAGCAGGATGCAGCAGGGCAGTGCTCACCTGTCACCATCCTAAGGCCAGGTTTGTTTTCCTGCATCAGCAGGAACTCATGGATGGCTGCCAGCCAGACCCCAGGGGAAGGTTTATCCCACCTGCACTCGAGGTCTGGCAGAGCCTCGGGCAATCTGTCTCTTGTCTGAGCAAGTTGGCTTCAGCTGCTGGATGTGCCCAGAGCCCCACTGGGTGGGAGAGCAGGGAATGAAGCAATCCTGGAGGGCCAGGGAATATGCAGATGGAGAATAGGCCATTCAAGGGCAAGCTTGGCAAGAGTCCTGGGCTGGGGACATGGTCCCAGTGATCTCTGAAGTCACAGCACAGAAGGGCAATGCTACATGGGTCTGTCTTTGAAGGGTGGGCAGTGGGGATGGTGGACCTCCCATCACCTCTGTAGAGCTGCTTCTGCCTTTGACCAAGGAGGCGGCCGTGGGCATGTTTGGAAGCTACACACAAGACTGAACTAACCTACCTCAGATAAGGCTTGGATTAATTAGTCAATACATGTTAAGTGCTGCAAAGATTTAAGGCTCTGCTTAATTGTTAAGTAACTCAATCATCAGTGGCTGCGTGGGATGCCTGAGGCAGAGTGGGTGAATCAGCCATTCTCTGGCAAGTGCAAGGTAACGAGGGAGAAAACTTTCCAAGGCTGGGTGACAGCAGGATGAGTTGGTTAGGGGACAGCAACAATTACTGAGGTCACTGGGACAGACACAGGTTGCCAAGAGAAACTGTGGATGCCCCATCCCTGGAAATGTTCCAGATCTGACTGAATGGAGCCATGAGCAGCCTGTTCTGGTGGAAGGTGCCCCTGCCCATGGCAGGGAGTTGGAATGAGATGATCTTGAAGGTCCCTTCCAACCCAAACTATTCTGTGATTCTATGACTGGGAGCACTTTGGATGTAAAAAAGTGGTCAAGTCCTGCATGGAGCAGCCAGTTCTAGGGAGCAGGAGCCCTTTAGGTGATGGAGGGAAAGGCAATGATTTCATAGAAGAAAGAAGTAAAAAGACCACGAAAAACTTTATTGAGCTATTCAGACTTGTTATGTCCAACCCAGTCTGAAAGAGGTGGGTTTGGGGCTGAACCAAAATGCTTTGGGGGATGTGAGAGTGGTTTGGGTGAAGTGCAGAGCACTTAATGTGCCACAGACTCAGCTGTCTTCCCTGCAGGGACTGGTGCCATGTTACAGGCTGGGGTGGGACATGAAGCTACTGCTGAGGAGCCACCTTGTGTCCTGCAGGTCAGTTCTCCATGCAGTGATTACAAGCTGAGAGAATTCACAACAGGAATGTTTTTGCAGTCCATCACCAGCCTGAGACATCTCTTCTGCCCCACCATACAACATGTCCTGTCACTCAGGGGCGAGTTTCAGACCTCGACCTGTTGCCTTGTTTCTGTGCCAGCAAATTGCATCTTCCACAGTGTCTCTATTTGCCCCTACCCTTCCTGCTGATCTTTGCCCTCTGCTTCTCTCCATGTGGGAGCTTCCCAAGTATGTCATGGAGTCTGCTCCCAAACACCTTTGAATAGGGTAGAAGTGTCCTTAGAATCCGCCAGGGTGTTTTCTACCTCCTTGTGAAAAAATGTGCCCTATTGAAGGTGTAACTCACTGATACTGAGGATTTAACCCCAGGGTTAATCCCCGTGCAGAGGTGACTTCCAGACATCCATGATCATGGCATCTCAGCCGGGTAAAATGGGGGACTCTTTGGCATTGTGCCTCATCTACACACATATTCCCAGGGCTTTCTATGAGGCTGGATGTGGGAAGGACCTATCTACCTGGCATCACTCTGGCTGGAAAAAGCCTCTGAGCGCTGCCCTGGTGAAACATTCATATTTTCGGAAACAGGGAGCGGGTAGGAACATCCTGTACTGTTGTGACAGAGCTGCTTGCATGAGATGAACCTCACTGCCAGGGCTGGGATGGGTGCACGTGGCTCATGTGGGAAAAAGGTGTGAGCTCTGGAAGGAGATGCAGCCTAACACAAGCCCCAGGAAGGGCCAGCAGGACAGCATGGAAGCACTGCCAAACAAACCATAACTGCCCTGCAGGCTCCCACATCCCTGATCCCAATCCTTGCCTTGCAGCTCTCTGTACAGAGCAGCACAATCATAAGCAAGCAGCCCGGATAGGTTGCCTGGGTCTTGGATTAGACCTGATTGTTCTTGGAGAAGTTGGAGTCACCAGCAGGCAGCCCCCTGTCCCAGCACCAGCTGCGGGGCTTGGCGTAGGTTCGCAAAGCACCCCTTGACCTCAGCATCGCCCACGTCCTTACAGCCTTGCTTTAATCCTCTTTTAATTAACTGCTGAGGGGTGTGATGGTATCAGAAGGGTGGGAGGGGGCTGGCCTGGGGTGTTTTGGGCTTGGTGTATGTGCCAGCCAGCTGGGTTTGTTATGAGCCTGTCAGATCTCACAGACTAGTGTTCCCTCTCCAGATCCGGTTGCAGCTCAGACATTGCGTGGATCATCCCTGCGGCTCTTGCACTGTTCAGGGATCCTGCCGTGTCCCACCTGGCAGGTGCTGGCAAATCAAAGATTCGAGTGAAATTGGCAGCTGAAAGGCAAAGTGGCTTCTCTGACGACATAGAATGCTGGGGAGGAGGTTTGACTTCAGTCAGAAAACACTGGGGAGCTAACCAGAGCAGAGATGGAGTGGCCACAGGGATGTCCAAGATGGAAATGGGGGTGAGGTCAGCAGTTTTTTGGTCACTAGGGTCATGGAAAAGGCTCCAAAGGGGGTTGGGTTTATCAACACTTGGTGGTGGGTTTTCACAGATATTCAACAACCTGCTTGTCTGGGGTTTGACTTGAGAACAAGGCATATCCAGGCTTTCCAGACCCCCTACACCTCCACCATGGGGCACCTCAGTTCCCCAGAGTGTCTCCAGGAATCTGATGCTCCTGGGGAGAACAAGTTGCACACTGGACCCGAATGCCATGAAAGTGGCTGTCCCTGGGTTTAAAGCAGCCTCTGGTTGAGAGGATGAGATGATCTGGGGACAGCTTACCTGCCTCTACCTGTGGGCCTGCAAGAAGGTGGGATGACTGGAACTGAGATCCCAGGCTGCTGGCACTACCAGGATCACCAAAAATGTGTGTGCTGGCGGCCAGTGAGACTATGAGAGCACATGAAACATCAGTCTTAATAAAAGTACACTCAGATAATAACATCCACAGGTCCTGTGTGTCTGTCCTTCACCCTCACTGTGATTTCCTTTAGAGAAAAGTGTCCAGCAGATGTTTATTTGGCCTTTCCTGGTCCTGAGGTGGCTCTTGGTTTTTGAACATCTGAGAAGACCTTGTGTAATGTGGCCTTGAGGGGAATCAAGGGCATTAGAGCAGGGAACAGAGAACAGCTGTTCTTTGGTCACTGTGGATGATGAGACACAGCTGCGCCCAAAGCAGCAATCAAATTCAGAAGGAGCTGGTTTGGATGAGGCAGATGCAAAGACTTTCCAAGGGGTGAACAACACTTCAGCCCCACAGGGAAAACCAAACTACATCCAGATGTGGAGCAGAGGCCAGATGTGTTCAGTCAGTCTGGTGCCCTCCTGGCTTTAACTGGTGGAGGCTGCAGACCATTGTGACCAGCCACCTGGGGTAGCTGGTGCACAGTAGGTTCTCCATTTCCGGAAATCAACACAGCAAAATTATTGCTCAAAAGGAAATTGTGGGCTTGGCAGAAGTGGTCAATGCTGGGTTTTGCAAGAGGGTGGATTGCTGAGCACTGTTCATTCCATGTGCCTTAAACCCTGTGACTCTGTACCAGCAGCTGGTCACTGGTCCTTCTTAGCCAGAGTCATGAGAAGCTTTGTGAGTCTATTACATGGCCAGGAGATGCTCTGCAGCTTTGCTAA